TCTTCGACCTGATAGATTAGGCCGCTGATTTTATAAGACACATGGCAGACAATAATTTGGCTAACTTTTCCGTTGTGAGACATCACATGCACACTATTTCCATATACGGTTAAATGAGCGTCGAGTTGACACCCGCGTTTTGTGGGTCCTCACCTCCTGGCAAGTTAAAATCAATGCTTCATTGATTCCTTCAAGTGGTTTTCTCTTTTTCGAGTAGATTTTATAAGGTTTGGAACCTGAAGCTGAAAGCTATCTTGAATTCGTTGAATTTGTCAGTATTTCGAAGGAAGGCTGTATTGAACTTTTGTAATGCTGTCTCTCCAGGTGTCCAATGGTTCTTTAGCTTCAGTTTCATCTTGGCAACTACCAGATGGTGATCTGGAGCTATGTCAGCTCCTTTCTTTATTCGCGCTTCCTTGATTGATCTTGTGAACTTATTATTAATGTAAATATGATCAACCTGGTTCTCTGTAGTGTTGTCCAGTGAAACCCATGGAGCTTTATACATGCGTTTGTGGGTGAGTATTGTGTCACCTATAACCATTTTGTTGAATGCACATAAATATTCAAATTTTTCACCATTCTCGTTCTTCTCTCTCAGTCTCCATGTCGTCCCATGACATCTTCATACCCGATGTTATCCATTTCGAATTTGGCATTAAGCCTCCCACCAGAATGGTTAGGCCCCTTCCTGGGCACTTCTGTATGACCGAATGCAGTCTCATAAAACTGATTTTCATAGCCTTTGTTGCTATCACTGGTTTGGCTTATAGCAAATCACGTGCAATTGAGTTTGTTCTCATTTAACTCGGTTAAGCCCTTCTGTTAACTTATTTAGCGGACAAAGTCATCCGTACTATAAAAACTTATTGTACGTTTATTATTATTGTGCTTGTATGAAATATGTATGCTTGAACATTGTCTACCGCCTACGCATACATTCATTCTGCTAGCTTTATTATTAGCTGCTTCATTGATTGGATTCCCTATATATATATATACATGTACATTTAAACCCATACATACTCTGCACTCTCGGTCCGCTGACTCACTCATTTTGCCTCACTGCTTTGTGGTCTGAGTTATCTGCTAATGAAACTGTAGTTGCTACTTCTCTTTGCCTTCTGATTTCGAACACCGTTGAGGATCATATGATAACGGTTACGAGGGTGATTGGTAAACGAAGCACAGTCACTACAGGCTCATAGCACTGAATAAATTAGTCAACTTCAGATGTTAGTTACGGATGGAATATAAGTATTGATATGCTTACACGTGTATGTGATTCAAACAAATAAAATGTCGTTGGTTGTAACTTCATTATTTAGACAGCTCTTTATGTTTTCCTGAAACTGTTATTCTATGTATTTTAAAACTATCCGTATAATGTAATGAAATTGCTTATATCTTCATTTACTTCTACGAGATAACAGTTCCTGTTAATCTCATGTTTAAGCTCCCATAATTTTGTAAGATACTTAAAACCTAAAGTGAAACTGAATACTATAAGATCCAGGCGAGCGCCCTATAATATTTAGAATATTTTATTTTTTGACTGTTCGTCGAAGAGACAACATTAAAATATCTGGTTGTATACATTAAATATATTCTGAGATGTAGAAATGGTTGAAAATGTTTACGATATAAAGTAAATGAAAGTCAGATGTGTAGCAAGCCCATTCAACTATTGTATTATTTGTCTACTCACTGTAATTCAGATACTTAATTCACTATGTTAGTTTCTGTGTTTGTATGATTGAGCGCGTGTCTGCACATCAACCTTAATCTATTCTCCTATTGGTTGTAACATACAGATAATCAATAATTTATCCACACTTGATTGACACTCAAAAATATATATGGATTTTTGACACACATACACACTTTCTTGGTTTCACAGTGTGCTTGCTCGCTGTACGCTTGTGAATTTTATTTACCTTTAACAATAAAATATCTCTACAACTGGTGTTCAGGCTTCTGAATAATCTCGAGTAAATCCGTAATTCTACTAGGAGATTTAGCCTACCTAGAATACTCAGTTGACGGGGTATCATTTATTGGAGTCAGATATAGAGGAAATTAGCCACAACAGATGTCTTACGAGGCAGATCTTGTAGTCATTTTTTAAAAAATTGAGAATCTATTATCCGAATATATGGTAATGAACATGGCTATTATTATTACTTGGTTTAGTCACTGAATTTAGTCATGATTATCACTAGTAAAAATTTGAGTATTCTTATGGCTATATTTTACAATTTTGTTCGGTAATTAGATTATGATTAATTCAATAATTTAGTTATTTTGTCTTTCTTCAGCTTCTAAAAACTCATGAATTATAATATTTCTTCGTAACATACATACATATACACCTAATTAATGATGTAGTATGTAGTTGGAACGAGCAAATGCTCTATACCCAGATTAAACATAATTTAGGTGTTCAGTAATACTCAATTTTTCACGGAGATATTAAAATGTTAATTCACTTGGGTATAGATAACAACAAATATGTAACTACTTATGTGTATAAGTATACAAATAAATATAAGAATAAAATAATAATAATGTGTAATGCTGTTGTTAACAGTATTACCTTCTCTATTGGACTTCATCGAACGGTAAAATCTCCACTTTTTCTGTGTAAAATCAAATAAAAATCAGTAATTTGATTAGAACTTGGAGCAGTACTTTACTTGCCTATTGTACCCAGTTGGTCTTGAATATTTTTTGTTCTTGACAAAAAATTGTTCGATTTAATAAAATCACTCATTCTAACATCATAAAATTAAGATAAATCTTTAAATGTTTCCTCTGATACATGTTGGTCAACTCTCTGAGAAATAACACAAAGAAATATCTAAGAATATTTAGAAAAGTATTCATTTATGACCATATTTACCAAACCGATTGCTCTCTTACGCATCCTACATGAGATGATACTGATGAAATGGAATTTATGCTATCGAAGATTTTATAACACTTTTGAAAAACGTTCCGTTGGTAAACCTGTTACAATAAACAAACAGACTGTTCACTGAACTAAAATTTATTGACGCAATCACTCTCTCTTATGAATGAACAACAAAAGGTTGGACAAATTTTGGTAAAGACGAGTTCCCAATGGTACGAAAACTGCATATTTATTTACAAAATGTTTGATAATCAATGGAATTGGAACTTAGTTATAACATTAATTTATGGCCTATCATAAATTTGACAAGTTTGAAATATTTCAAAATTACTTGACATCTGTTATTCTGTAATCAATGAGACACTAAGGCATATCTATTAACTGTCATATAAATCAGTGTAGAATAGTCTTTGAATAGGTTTATTTTATTAAAAAAATCTGTAATTTCCAAAAGTGTTAAATTAGAGGACTGTGCTGTAAGTTCGAGAAATAACTTCTAATTCTGATATTGTTGTGTAAAAATAGATTTTTTCTGATGGTTTTGGTTGATATGAGTCGTTTTGTAGTTATCGAAATTAGTTTACGTCTCAGGTCGACGTTGTTTAGAAAATACACTGTGGATAATGTAGGACAGCCGTTCTATTTTAAGTTGAACTTTTCAGTGGTGTGAGCTTGTAACCGAAATGAAAAACTTTTGGTTTTTCAGAAAGCACTATATCATTCACTAACTGAGTTGAGATGTATATTTTTTATAGTCGATTCTCATTGTGATGCATTTTACATTCAGTGTCATCTTCAAGTAACTATTTCATTTCTGATGTGAACGATTCTGTAAATCAAGGCCTTCCACTAAAACATCTGGAAATCTATCTCAAGGCTGATATTTAGTACAGTGGAAATATTTAAAATTAAAACTATTTTTACACATTTCAGCCACAATTTACGCATAAGGTACATACTTAAAGGAGCATAGACATATATATACTGACCGAATTGGCACCATATACATATTTATATCAAAGTGGACGGCGAAAGCAAACAAATAAAGCCTACAAATCAAAAGTTCATTTATCGCCAATAGTAATAACTGCTTTTATCACGTAAATTAGCACAATACTCGGTAAACAGACAGCCTATTTTGACTAAACAAGATAAGTTCAACTAACCAACCGTACTGGATTATTTCGTTTACGTTTCTGACAATTTTTCATTCGCATTAAAAAAAGTACTGTTTGTTCCTGAATTGGTTTTCGTGGATATCTTCATTTACGTAGATTTCTTTCATTACAATTAATCTAATTCTGGTATATTTCCTGATATCCTGTTTTGTACGGTGTTTTTATTGTGTACTTAAATATCATATTCCTTTTTTTATTCTTCTATAAATAAGTTAACAAATCCTGGTGAATTTATATTAATTTTTAAAGACAGTTATACTATTTAAGAATAAGTATATCTTATCTTCATGTATTTTTTCATTCAATGTTACACAGAATAAAGCTAGAATCTATCGACAGTCTAACCCAAATCTGATAAGGGGCTTATAGCTTTTTATGAGAAACCATGGAATTGATACCAGCTGACAGTATGCTAATGAATAAATTCATGGAAGATATTTTCCAGTGTTTTAATTATTTAAGGTTGATATGAAAGGCTGTCTTGTTTAGTCATACCCTAAAAATTACATGGTGTGATAGAAGGATAAGAAGTAACCTTTAATCATTACGATACAATTTCTGTATGAAATGTAATTCAACAAGAAATCTTTATGGAAACTGTACAAAAAAGTTTATATAAGTATCGTTATCCTGAACAAAATAAATAAATATGGGCTAATCTCTTAAGTACACGAATATTTGTTGTAAAAAGTTCTTTTATGTATAGTATACGGAGTATAAACGCGAAAATCGCCACCTTCGTAATTAAGTTTTGTTACAATTTTAGCTACAGATATTTGGTTTTAGCTACCTATGTACTGATTGGCTGATGATAGGTTCAAAATACGTAGGTTATTTATAGGGTTGTTCAACTGTAGTATAAGTTTACATGCATTGAAATTTTCTAATCAATGCTCTGTTATTCATAGATACATGTCAATTCACAATTACAAGTTACGGAAAAGAATCAAATGGTTTTCTTCACATACCAAGTAATTTAATTAGAACGAGAAAGCCGTCTGAGTTAAACAACTGTAAATGGAAACTTGAAGGTGGTTATGGACAACGTATACAAATACGTTTTGTACGACGTCTAGATAATTCACAGCAAATCTATCAATTTCAACGTTCACAAATTACATCAAGTGAAGTTAATGATATTGTGTTAAATTATACGAGTGATTTTATTCAATACGATCGAGAATTCGGGGGTTCGATCTATAGACAAAAACATCAACCTGATATGAATGATATACACGAAATTAAATCATCTTTTTTAAACAGTTTAAAGTAAGTTCAGTACGAAATGATACTTATTATTTTATGTGGTGTTATTAGAATCGGACAAATCAGTAAAGTGGCATTACCCCACTGGGTTGCCAACTAATGAATTGAGTGTTGTTATGGGCGTAAACTAATCATCTGGAATCCATGAGATAATCGTGAATAGTGTTTATAAAAGTTAAATGATATAGTTTATAATCAGTTGCAAAGTATTCTCAGTTTTAGTATTATTTCACAATTTCTTGTTCTACAACTTCATTCTCTATTTCAAATCATTTTCTCTATATTTACTCGTTAGTACTACTAATATTTCAAGTTTTTTGCTATTCGTTTTGTTAATTTTATCTCGTTATACCTAAACGATGTAGCAGTTTGAACCAATGCATATTTTTCCCAGGTCCTAATTTAATGACGGGTAATTAATGTGATTAGTAAATTATATTTTACAGGAGCCAGAAAAGTTGTGATGCATTATGATTAATAACTGGAAACTTCATCTTGAGATCCTAACTTTCTGCTATGATGATTTAAAAATTCTGTTTGATCCCTAGATTAGCGAGTATCTCAGATTATATACGATCTCATAAACATTTCATAAATTGTAACATTTTACAATACACTGTTATTCGAAATCGAATCTATTTCATGTAAATAGTAGAATTTGTTTCTACGAATTGCAAATCCGAGATAGAATAAATTTACAGGAGTTAAGGGATTATTTTACAGTTATCCTCAAAGACGATTATAATTTCAGTGCACATATTACTGCTAGACAGGAAACAACAAAGAACGTCAACATTAATCTATAAGTGATTTCCTCGATAATATATGCTCGACAACAACCACAAATTCTGGTAATCAGTTTCTATTCATCGAACGGGAATGTAATAACTAACCTGAGTCTTCACAAGCATCACAATACTGTTGATCCCATGTTTAAAAATTGTTCAAATTTGGGTGAATTTTCCAAATATTTAAATCATTAAAGATATAATCAATCCTAAATGTTAAAAGTAAAACTATCTTTGAAAAAATTTCAACTATGTATTTGTGGCTAGCAGTGGAATTTAGGAAGCGCGTTCTGTATTCTTTCCGGAACTTGTGTCTCAGCGTCGATATCCACCAAGCTATTGAGTTCAGCCAACGATTAATTCATAACAAACTCTTATTAATAGGATCCTAACTGTGTTTAAACTATAGAAAACTCTGAGTTGTTATTCTTTTGGTCACTTATTTAAAACTAATTGTCTATAAAATACCTGTATACGTCTAGTTTTTCACAAAACTAGAAACAACTTAAAAAATAAGAAATAAAGGCAACAACTAAGCAACTCTTTATTTGGATTGAGGGAGAAACAGGTAGAGATACTGTTATGAATTTAAGTTGTGAGTCTGCAGGGCTTGATAAGCAGCGTATTTATTGATCGATCGCAGTACAGTGACACGGAAAACACGTACGGACGGCCTAGAGTCTCTATTGGTCCCGCTTCCCTGTCTAGCCCAGTTAGTTGAGTCCAGAACACAAGTCACAACCTCTGAGATATGAATCATTATATTTCAAACATACTTTGTTTATATACCAATCAAGCATACCACATCGTACCATAAAAATAGTAAACAACATTTACGCAATATGTAACGAATGAATAAATAATAGCCAATAGGGAATGTACATTTAAAGTCCAAGGACACCACTGGACTTAACATGATAATTATTGGTCTATTCTTCCGCATCCACAACACCTCCCCTTTTTTTTGAAGATCCGGAGTTGATATCCGGATTTTGAAATTTTCTGGGTTCATCCTCCCCCACGAAATAATGTTGGGTCCTCATATTCCCAAGTTAGAATTAATTTGACTTTATTTAACACATAATTGTCAGATTGAACAGGGGAGTCACTGAAAGTGATTAAATAGTGGGGAACAATGTCGCTTGATATGAGGTCACCAACGTTTGATTCTTCTGGAACATTGTCACGGGATTTGTTGAAAATCTCATTTGTAAACAGTTGATCACTGCGATAATCAACATCTATCAAAATTGTATTAGATTTCTGATCATCATTTAATGCATTTAACACATTTTCTGGTACAAAAAGATCTAGATAATAAGATTCGTCAGAATCTCCTGTTGTTGAATGATGAGGACCATTTGAAACAGCTGGATTCAGTGTACCGCACGATTTGTTCCCTGTTCCGTTGTGGGCGGGTACTGCAATTAATTTATGAGCATTTAATAAGAGATCCTCCTGTGAGCTGGGTACATCACTGTCTGTACACGTTTCAGGAACAGTGGGATTTGAACCCACGACAGGGAACGTTTCGGAATTTGACATTTCTGGACAACTGGGCGGACCATGAATAACTGTCTCGTTTACATCACTGGTCGTCCGGGATTCACAGAGGCTTTTATAAACAGCTTCATATGTTCTGCAGTTGTTTTCCAGCTCAGTCTGCAGATGAGAAATGAATTTACCAACTTCTGTTGCACCTCCGAAACATGGAACATTTACCAACAGTGTGCGTAAATTTTCTAAAAAATTTAACTGGCTATTTTTGAAGCACTGCTGTTGTTGCTCAAGTAGAAGCTGTAATCGATCGGAAAAGGTAGTCATTTTTTTTTCAGCACCTGCAATGAAAATTAACTGTAGGAATAATGACCAATGTTGCTCAAGGACGCTGGTGACAATCTGGATGCTGATTGGTCGAAACAATTAACCTGAATCTCGTCCAATTACAAGGTTCAAAATTTTTCTCCACCCCGTCGCCAATTGTTATGACTGATGTGACTGCAGGGTTTGATAAGCAGCGTTTATTGATCGATTCGGTAGAGTGACACGGAAAACACGTACGGACGGCCTAGAGTCTCTATTGGTCCCGCTTCCCTGTCTAGCCCAGTTAGTTGAGTCCAGAACACAAGTCACAACCTCTGAGATATGAATCATTATATTTCAAACATACTTTGTTTATATACCAATCAAGCATACCACATCGTACCATAAAAATAGTAAACAACATTTACGCAATATGTAACGAATGAATTAAATAATAGCCAATAGGGAATGTACATTTAAAGTCCAAGGACACCACTGGACTTAACATGATAATTATTGGTCTATTCTTCCGCATCCACAACAGATACCTATCGCAAAAAACCGTCTGCCTGGTTAAACCTAAATGACTGATCAAACATAGTCTGGTCACCTTTTTTTCTCTCGACTTATTTTCATCACTTTTATCACTTTCTTGCTTATTCTCCTTTAACATTCACTCCTTAAATTACCAATCTATGTGATCAGTCAAGTAGAATTGTGTTCTAAACAATTCAATATCACCGAGAAAAGAAGACGTAGGTACTGAAGTGTAGTGTCTAGAGTATTTTCACCAATAGTAATAATGTGCACGAGTTTTTCTTTTTATCCTAGTATCAGTTAAAACATAAAAACAATGAAAATTTACCGTTTACAAAACGAATCTTAGTGAAAAATGAATTGAAGTTTTGTTTTATTTAGTTCGGTCTATAAATTACTTTTGAATAGACTATGATGGGACGGATCGTTTGATCAGGAAGTCGTGACAAGTATGAATACCAGGGTTTTCAGTTACATAAATCATATATATATTTACATGTCAAATCCTTAACTGATTACAACAGGGGTAATGATTAACTTTAGAGAGAGAAAATCCACTAGGTGAGTAACACAGAAGTTGAAGATATTAGTGACTTGAATGACTGAATATATTTAGCAAAGAAGCATTATGTTGACGGAATAGGGGTATAGAACAATATTCAATCTAAAAGAAGGATAGAAAATGACTGAATCCTCACTACCTTGTCCGATTTCAAGCCCTTTCACCAAAAATCTTCAACCATTGATTATGATTAAAATACTAACCTCAGTCGTGGATTATTTTCTGACGTATGAAACTATGTTTACCAGATTCTAATCTCATTGTGATGTCACATATTATGACATCAGTTCATTCAGCTGACAAGATCTATGTGGAGCAACACATGTATTTTGGCTTCAACTGATAATCATTTTTTCAAAATATGGTTAATTAAAAGTAACACTGTAGCATACACTAAAAACGAATATGAGTTCACAAAACCAAAAATAGAAAACATTATCTTCATACTTTAAAAAAATGAAATAACTGGTTAAACAGTGACAGGAAACCAGTAAGCACTGGAAAAATGTTTTATACTGATACTGTACTCCTCAACAATAAGCACCGCTGACACAAACATCGCAATATGGTAGATTGACACAGGTCATAAGCGTAAGTGACTGGATGGCAACTAGGTGATCTGAAGGCTAATTTCTCTTTGTGAAGTCTGGTGTGTATAAGACTCAACCATTGTTGCAGTCGCGGACATGCACGGATATGGAGACCTATATTAGGGAGACTGTTATATCTTGTGACTGCAGATTAGAGGATAGTGACTTATCGATCGGACCAAGGACGCGTAAAATACGCATGAGCAGCCTAGAATCTGATTGGCCCTGCTTCCTGCCTAGCCCAGCCAGTTAAGTCCAGAACACAAGTCTCAGCTTCTGCGATATGAATCATGTATTTCAAACATACTCTGTTTATATACCAATCAAGCAGACCACATCGCACCATAAAACAGAAAATAACATTTGTACAATATTTGGCCAACAGGGAAATGACACGTGAAATAAAAATTGACCAATAGGAAAATGATGCCATTTCAAGTTCAAGGATAGCATTAAACTTAACAGGATAATTTCTGGGATATTTTTCTGAATATCGCAACAGAGACCTAGTTGTCCAGACCTTTCTACCTTTCAACGATTGCATAACCAAGGTCAGTCCGTTATGAAAAACCCCTTATATAAAATATCTGCAAATATATATAACCAATAAGTAAGCTCCGCAGTAGATAGAGCAGCCACAAGAAATTTAAGATACTTTAAAAATAGTCGATGAATATTGTTACTACAGCTTTATGCGAATTGTACGACCTAATTATTTAAAAGACAGAAATCATTGATGGTTAGGCCACTGTTGACAACAACTAGCCGGACATAAATTATTGAATTGGTTAGCTATATCACTGAAATTAAACAATTTCCACAACCCTATGTTGATCATATATAAATACTTAACTAGTTTCTAATATCTAAGATGATTTAGGAATACAACTAATTTCCAGTTCACAGCGCTTTTTATTGATTGTAAATATCTGTTAACTTCGAGTAATCTTATTAATAATTTTCGTGACAATTTTGTTTTCTTATATCTTATTTGTTCAGATGTCCCACTTCAATGACTTTAGAATTGATCAATTATCGTGCTGACGTTTTAACTACTAACAATGATATCAATAGACTGTTAAATAAGAGGTTAAATCCTAATTTCGTTTCACAACAAAGTTATTCATCGTTAAATTTAAATGCAATTTCTACTACACAATCGACATCACCTTTATTCACCACAGATCCCATGGAGACTATACCTTTAGATCCTGTTCGTTTATGCGCTGGGATTTTATGACTTATTCACCAGCAAGTAAGGGTTTCATGTCTGGAAATATTCCACGTTTAGATATAATTCTTAAGATCAATCAATCTAGAAATGGTACCAATATTAATAATGATAATAATGATAATAATAGTGACAATAATAGTAGAGACATGAAACAAAACTTCCGGAGTATTCAACATTCAGATTTAGGCTATGATGTGCAGTATAAATTTGTCACAGGTGAGAAAATCGGTTTTCATTTTTTAAGGGAAACTAATATGTTAATAATTGTCTCAATAATTATTTTAATTTTTTTATCACCAAATATTGTTAGATGAAATAGTGGAAAGAATGTAACTGGCAAGGTGATTTTTCTTATGGTATTTCCGATCGAAAAAATTAAACATCAATTCATTTCCAAAAGATTCGAAACTACTAATTGACTAAGTAGTGATCATTGTTCATTATATCAGAGTTCGAAAATTATTGTGTCTAATCATTCATGCAAAGCTTAGACGATTTTAAAGACTATCCTTATACGTTATAACCGTTCTTGAAGAAATAATTTAGTGTGGTTGAACAGAACAAGAATAGTATTATTCTTTTTGAAGCAGTATCCGCTTTACACCAGTTTTCACACACGGGTACCAGTGAGAATAACTTTTTCTTTTCGTAAAACTTTCAAGAAAAACGATAAATTTCTGTCGATTGTATTCCGTGCTTCCACTCAGATGTGGAAATTTTCATAAAACACCAGAAAAAAGAGGAAGGAGAAGAGTCTGACTTCAATCCTCACTTGGAATGCGTCTGTCAGCTATCATCCATGCACGACTTTGTAGTATACTCCGTCGTATGGATTCCGTATGATCTTGACGATTCTCCCAGGTACTCCATAGTGTTGAAGACGTTTTGATGATGTTCTCCTATCCACATTGTCAAACTCCTTCTCATAGTCAAGGGAGTTGATGTTTAGTGATGATTCTAACGGTGATCTGTAGTGTCGGTCTGTTGTTGGTCTGTGCAGGACCGATCCTTACGGAATCCAACCTGTTGATGTGGAGGTTGTGTGTCTATTGAATCTTTCATCCGGTTCAACAACACTTTTGAAAACCTTTCCTGGTGTCGATAGTAGTATGATGCCTCTGTAGTTCTCATATTTGCTCAGATCTCCTTTGGTATGTTGATGAGGTATCCTTCTTTCCAGTAAATTGGCATTTGTTCTTCCTTCCAAATCGCCTTAAATAGAACGTGGAGCATGTTTGCAGTTACTTATGTGTCTGACTTTAGTGCTTCAGCTGGTACATTGTCAGGTCCTGCTGCTCTCCCACTCTTGATTTGTCTAATGACCATCCTGTGAGTGCTGCTCCGATGCTCGATGGATTTAATGGGACTGATCTAGTCAAGATTTCCTCAAAGTGTTCTGCCCATCCTTTCCTCATCTCTTGAATCTTACTGATTGACATGACTTCTTTGTCCTTGAGCGGTCTACGTGGTTTAGTATATTTCCCTGCCAGTTTCTTCGTTGTGTCATATAGCTGTCTCATATTTCCTTCTTTTGCAGCTTTCACCGCTACCGTTGCTAGTTGTTCCACGTATTTCTGCTTGTCGGCTCTAATTCTCCTCTTTAATTGCCTGTTTACTTCAGTTTATTCAGCTTGTGCCTTGACTTTCTCTGCTCTTGTTCGTCTGTTGTTAATTGTTGTCTTCTCGTACTTCCTTTCTTAAATATTACGCAGGTTTTTCATAGAGATCCGTACCATATGATAATACTTCTTGAGGACCAGAACCTCTTGACACGTTGAAGTTAGTGCTTCTTCGAGCCTTTTCCAATTATCGTCAATAGTGGTTTTATCGTCTTCGAGTAGATCTTGTAGGGCTTGGAACCTGAAGCTGAAAGCTATCTTGAATTCGTTGAATTTGTCAGTATTTCGAAGGAAGGCTGTATTGAACTTTTGTAATGCTGTCTCTCCAGGTGTCCAATGGTTCTTTAGCTTCAGTTTCATCTTGGCAACTACCAGATGGTGATCTGGAGCTATGTCAGCTCCTTTCTTTATTCGCGCTTCCTTGATTGATCTTGTGAACTTATTATTAATGTAAATATGATCAACCTGGTTCTCTGTAGTGTTGTCCAGTGAAACCCATGGAGCTTTATACATGCGTTTGTGGGTGAGTATTGTGTCACCTATAACCATTTTGTTGAATGCACATAAATATTCAAATTTTTCACCATTCTCGTTCTTCTCTCTCAGTCTCCATGTCGTCCCATGACATCTTCATACCGATGTTATCCATTTCGAATTTGGCATTAAGCCTCCCACCAGAATGGTCAGGCCCCTTCCTGGGCACTTCTGTATGACCGAATGCAGTCTCATAAAACTGATCTTTATCGTCGTCATTGCTATCATTGTTTGGTGCATAACATTGGATAACATTCATTGTGATTCCCTGCTTCCTTGTTTTGAAGGATGCTTTAATGATTCTGGGTCCTTGAGATTCCCATCCTATGAGTGCTTTACGTGCTTCTTTGGATGTCATCAGAACAACTCCCTGTGTGTGCGGAGCATTTTCTTCCTCGTGACTAGAGTACAGCAGCATCTATTCCCGAACCTATTTGTTTCTGTCCAGCTTGGGTCCAATGGATCTCACTTATTCCGATTTATTATATATTATATTGATTTATTTGAACATATAAATATTGGTGCAAAGTGGCATCGAATACACATGAAACTCTTCGTGTCCATGTTATATCCTGATGAATATTAAATTACAGGTAACTCCGGAGGACTATTAATGGACTAATATTCTTATTCAACAATTACATTATGTATATTTATATTCCTCTTATTATAAGCTTTATTTTGATCTATAATTCGTTATTGTACGATTTACGGTTCTTAAGTTATGTTCAGTTTGTTTAACTACTGCCTCCCACATTCACAGCCACTTTTTGGGCTTATTTGTGTACAAATATTATTTCCTATTTTATGGTACGTTGCGGTCTGTCTGATTGATATATAAACCGGGTATGTCTGAAATAAACGATCTGGTCTGATCTGCTCTGGTTCGGAAGCTGGTATTGTGTTCTGGACTCAAGTGGAAGGGCTCGGAGAACATAGGACCAATAGGGACGCTAAACTGCCCACACCGGTTGAACGTCATTGGTTGGCCTAGTGTGAAGATTCGTATAAGTCGTATTCGGATTGGTAGATAAGTCGTGTGATAGAAAAGTCAGACACCCAAGGTCATAACAGTCCACCTACCCGGTAAAAGCTCCAGACATTCGCTTTCCGTCCTCCTGATTTCGTGAGCAACACCCCCTCCACGAGAAGGCAGTGAGTAGGACCTTCCTATTAGTGGTTGTACATGGGTGGCCATGTGAGAGCACTTAGAGAAGAAGACCGGACTCCCCCCACCCACAGCCCTATCAGGGCATTTAGGGGCACTTATTCCGAGCAACTTCAAGTTGTATCTCCTCATTTCCGCAGCTATTTCATTGGTGTTCCCTGTCACTCCCATCGTATGAAAATTCCGTGTACCTATATAAATTGTTGTTCTGGTTGTTAGAATGGAAATTGGCCTCGTGACTTCCAAAGGATACCGACTTTCACCAAGACGGGTCCTAATCCTTCTGGATGAAGATCCTTCAACTCCCGAAACAAAGTTTTTTAAACTGTTTATTCTGGTTGGCGTTTTTTAGCAAGGTTGTTTTCTACGAGATGAGGTTACTGACCCGTACCCAACCCTCCTCCTTTACCCTCTTTTGTGACCGGCAGTAACCCTAGGAGAGCTACAGGTGGAGTTAACTGACGATCATAACCACCTCGTATACATTTGTCAATGTCAAATCAGTCTTCCATGTCAATCATCTCTATATCAAATAGCCTACCCAGACCTTTCTTTTAATTATATTTATTTCTATAGATTATGGTGTTACAGCTTCTTTTGGGAATCAACGGAAGCCAAGTAAGTCGAATATTTACCACAAAAAATAATTATTATGTATAAGGAATAAATACTTATGAGCATATTAATTCAAATATTTATGCGAGATGAAATGAGAAGTTCCGAATCAATCCCCTCTAATTATCTCACTTCTAAATAATGAGTTACTCATGCTAGTAGACACGTTACTATTTGGTCAACTGTCAAAAATAGGGACCAGATAAACATGGCGCTCGTTACTACTCAGAGATAAGTCAATGTTATCTGAGGAATATTTGATATCTTTCTATTATTTCAGCAGCATTCAAATCTGATTTTAGTTGACTTAAGTGTAGTGATCACTACATCTGAGTGAATTAATACTAACCTGTAGACGGACATATAATTTTTATCTGGTCAACAGTTGTGTGTTTTTCCACGTTTATCCTTGTTATTTATCATCGTTAACCATTCATTTGTTAACCTTGTACACTTTTTATGTGAGCTCGGTTAGTGAATGGATGTTTGCTATAATTTAACTGCTTTTCTGTAGTTTCCATATCGTTCATCTTATATAAAGTCCGACTTACTCTTTATTCACTGGCTTTGGCCAAATGTCATTTTCCATGTACACAGCTCTCAGATTTGTCAGGCATTCTACATATTTCATATTCAACCTTAATTTTCTACTTTGTATTAATATGATCAGTAGACAGTGTATATGAGAAGTTTAATATGAACTATATTTCGTTAAGATCATTCATTTCAATAATCTTTGTTATCATGGGGTCAGTAAACGGCCACTAAAATTATTCTCATGACACCTTACTTGAGAAGTATTTTTAAAAGAAGTACCATCTTTACAAATTTAGCAAGAAAATATTAGCGATACGTAAACAAATTACAAGTTAAAATATAACAGCTTACTTTTTGTCACAAAGGACATATATTTTCGTGTTTATATGCTTTTTAGAATCGTTCATCGAGCCATGAGAAAATTTAAGCTTCAGTCAAACCAAGTAAAAATGACCTAAATCAATAGAAAGTTAAACAAATTTAACATAGGTGAATTACCTTGGATAAAGCACATAGAAATGAGTTGATACTTAAATGTATATTGATTTGCTGACACCTACGACTTATAAAGATAAAATGGTGAAACCGATAATCCAACTCTAAAAATCAAATCTGATTTGGTTGTTTCAAATAGCGGTAATTCACTAAAATATGACCCTGAGTTACATCAAATAACCTACTTTGTTTCATGTAATCCATGCCTATCGTATTCGGCCTGATCTATGTTGATTCCTCAACTAAACGATAAGTTACTGATTCTGTCACATCTATGTGTATCTACAAATTCAGCTGCTCCTATGGAGAAAGCTATGTTGGGTGCAATGCCGGACAGCTGAGCGAACGAGTAAGTAAGCACCTACCTTTGTGGTTAGGAAAGGGTGCCATCGAAACAGTATGCAGCTCTGATTTACTTAGACTATTGGAAATTACTAATCAAAGATAAGATCAAGATCATATTCGTTTTACATAAGGTGGGAATAACAGTTCATTTATCAATCAATATATTGCTGTATCAATTTACTCAAACAACATCAGTTATAGTCCTAAACATAAATGGGAAAATTTAAACAACCAATACAGAGATAAATAATGAAAAGTATGTTTCTCAATAGTTTATTCAAAGTTACGTTATGAAGTGTTGAATACAATCTCCAAACAGAAACCATCGTCTCCTCAAGCCTATGATGTCCTGAATCGAACTTACGATTATTTAACAATAAATTAATAATTTAAGTACATTCTTTTGGAAACATCATTTATTTGTGAGCGAAGTTGTTTTGACTTAAATATTCATCAGACTTTAGTACATAAAGCAATACTTATGTTTTAGTTGCCCGTTGTCTGACTCCATTATGATCGAATATTTAATCATGCAGAGGAACTATAGATGGTATATTTTCTGTCACTAGATCTCATTAATAATAATGAGCACATAAAAAGTCGAATATGAGTGTTAAATTCATTCATTTTTCTAGACAGGTGAACAGATGAGCAACTGGGATGGTAGATGTGTATCTTCGAGATAATACTAATTACAAGTGTTGATTGAACTCAGAAAAGATAATTTATGCTGTGACAAGTTAACAAGCCTTGTATAAATATTAAATGCACAGACATACGTAAGCACACATGAGATGTATAATTGTATGACTGCAAGGACATGAATGTAATTTATTGAAGGTCAAAATTAGGATAGTAAAAATGACTCAACAATCGTTTACTTTCTGTGTTATTAACGTCTGTGCAAAGGTTAAGAGTTATCGAATGTGATAACACAGAAGCTGCTACAATGCATATTCAAAAAAATACGGAATCAATAAAGGAAGTTTGAGGCAACCATCACAAAGAAAAATAAATAAAAACTAAACATAATAACCAATATGTACAAATTCACAATATGATATCAGGTGTACTTGTAATAAGAATAACAAAAGCTTGGATCAGTATTTCAAAATAGTAAGAAGATTAAAACTTCGGAAAATGGTTTTCAAAATAGAAAGCATTAAAAGTCATCCAAATTACATTATAAGGAATGATGAAGTAATCTGATAATGAAGAACATACAAAAGATGGTGTAGAAAAACAAACGGACAAAGGGTATAAAGAATAATAGCAATATGCATTAGTAAAATCGTTTATCTAGCTTTATCCAGTCAAGGAAGAGACAACTTATTTACTTACTCCTGTTACTCCTCTTGGAAGAGCATAGGCCGCCCGACAGCACTCTTCATTCAACCCTGTCCTGGACGATCCTTTCCAGTTGTTATTCATCCTTTTCATATCTGCTTCTATAATCCAACGCAATGTGCTCTTTGGCCTTCCTCTTTTCCATTTCCCTTCAGGATTCCAAGTTAGGACTTGCCTCGTGTTGCAATTTGGTGATTTCCGTATTGTATGTCCTATCCATTTCCATCGTCTTTTCCAAATTTCCTCCTCAGCTGAAAACTGGTTCGTTCTCTTCCACAGAAGACTTTTGCTGATGTTTCCGGCCAATGGATGTTGAGTATCTTGCGTAGACAACTGTCGATAAATATATGTACTTTTTCGATGATGGTTGTGGTAGTTCTCGAACTTTCAGCTCCGTACAGTAGAACTGTCCTGATGTTCGTATTGATGATTGTGACTTTGATATTGGTTGACAGTTGTTTTTAGTTCCATATGTTCTTCAACTGTATGAATGCTGCCCTTGCTCTCCCAATCCGTACCTTCATATCTACATTGGATCCTCTTTGTTCATTGATGATGCTTCGCAGGCACGTGAAGGATTCCTTATCTTCCAGAGTTTCGCCATCAAGTGTGATTGGGTTGGTGTTCTCTGTTTTATTTGAGGACCTTGGTTTTCCCCTAGTGTATGTCATGGCCTACTGATGCAGAAGCTGCTTATACACGAGCTTTCTTCATCTGCATTTGTCCGTGTATATGGGATAGAAGGGCTAGGTCATCTGCGAATTCCGAATCTTCTAACTGATTCTGAACTGTCCATTGTATTCCATTTTCCTCTTACATGTCGAGGTCTTCATAATCCAGTTGAAACACTAGAAAATAGAGGGAGAGAGTAAACATCCTTATATTATACCGATCCTCACTTGGAATGCATCTGTCAGCTGTCCTCTATGCACGACTTCGCATTATAGTCCGTCGTATGAGTTCCGCATGATGTTGACAATCTTCTCAGGAACTCCGTAGTGTCGGAGAAGTTTCCATAATTTTATCCTATCTACACTATCAAACGCCTTCTCATAGTCAATTAAGTTGATGTATAGTGACGAATTACACTCAACTGATTGTCCGACGATGATCTTTACGGAATCCAGCCTGTTGATCTCGAAGTTGGGCGTCTACTGCGTCTTTCATCCGGTTCAGCAACACTCTGTTAAAGACTTTCCCTGGTGCTGACAGCAATGTGATGCCTATGTAGTTTTCGCATTTGCTCAGATCTTTTTTCTTCGGAATCTTGATGATGTACTCTTCTTTCCAGTCCGCCGGCACTTGTTTCTTCTTTCAGACCTTGTTGAATAGGTGAAGCATGTTTGCAGTCACTTCGATGTTTGACTTCAGTGCTTTAGCTGGTATATTGTCAGGTCCTGTTTCTTTCCCGCTCTTGATTTGTTTGATAGCCATCCAGATTTCTTCGGTCGTTGATGGAGTGATAACTATAGGAAGGTCTGTGTGTGCTGCTTCGATAGCCAGTGGATTCGTGTTGGGGACGATAGATCCCCAAGCTCATATTTTAAAATTTATCTTATCGATCATCTTATTGATTAAATGTTAGATATTTTTTATTGGGGTCAATTGATGAACTATCGACTAAATGCGCAAATAGGTCAATTGATGAACTATCGATTAAATGCGTAAATAGGTCAATTAATGAACTCGTTGAATAATGTTCAAAAAAAGTTTTTATGACAATATCGATTGTAAATAATTGTATAAATACGCTTGATTTGTGTGTTTGACTTGACTTGTTATCTGCTGTTTGTCTGTAGAATACACTTTCTACACCTTACCCAGACTTCTTGATCGAGTTAGCAGAGTTGGGGACAACGGACCAGAATAGTCTATCGAGATTCTGAATCACTGATCCGATCGATAAGTCACTGTCATATAATCGGCGCCCCTTTTGAGGCATAACAATTGGCGACGGGGATGGGATCGCAAATAGCATAGCTGAATTTCATTACGATCCTGATTCTAATGTTACTTTTGAGATGTGGTTCAGGCGATATGAAGATCTATTTAAATTTGATTTCGCCAATCAAGATGATGCTTGGAAAGTGCGGCTGCTACTTCGTAAACTGGGTGCAAATGAGCTGGACAAGTATTGCAATCTGATCTTGCCGTTGAACCCACGTGACCGATCATTTGCAGACACAGTTCAAACATTAATCCAACATTTCGGCGATAACTCGTCACTGTTTAATACTCGTTATCGTTGCTTGAAGCTAACTATGAACGAAGATGATGAT